AAATTAAAAAACTCAGCATCAACAACTATAACACGTGGATAACATGCATGTCTATCATCTGGACAAAACCTTTGGGAGGTTGTTGGCTGAAGTAAAATTACGCCTCACGAGAAAGTTGCTAATGGCACCTTGAGCAAATGGAATCAAAGTAAGTAAAGTAATGTTTGTCTTGAAGACTTGCCAAATAAAAGATGTTGGAACACATTTGGAATGACAAGATACTGAAAGAAGCATGAGACACGTTCGTGATGCTTTTTTCAAAGAATAACAATACGAGGTCGTAATTTCTAGACAATAAGTTGTTATCAATCTCAGAACTCGACATGACGATTGTTCAGTACTTCCACATTATCAAGTTGATCTAACAAGAGATTACTGAACTAGATCTAAAGTCTATCATCATTCATGAGTTGCAACAAGTAAAAGTCGGAATAACAACCAGAATTTTTTTTCTATGATCGATCGGTTACCAAAAAACCACAAACTCTCGAGAGCTCATAAGAACGATAACAATATCATTGATGCCTTTTTAGTTGAAAGAGCTAGAAAAGCTTAAACATTTTTTGGGTCTAGAAATTGGTCACACAAGACTAATAAAAAGTACACAAGGAGATACACATTGGAGGACAAACAAGTCTCAACATCGATGGACCCAGTTGCCAAGATCTGAGCACATGAAAGTAGAGAGTGGAACCATGGAACAATATACCAACAACTAGCAAGTCCTCTTATCTACCTAACTTTAACTCGGTTTGACATTTCTAATATAGTTGGAAACATGAGTCGGTACATGTAAACCCAAAGAATCATCATTAGATGCGGCTCAAAATACCACGATATAAAAGAAGCGAAAACTGCACGTTAGTTAGATATTGTAATGCTGACAATGCAAAATACCACGATACCTGAAGTTCAACTACTAGGTATGTGTTTAAGCTCGATTCGAGAACAATTTCTTTGTGTAGCAAAATACAATCAATAATATCATTATCGACTACCGTAACAAAATACAGAGTAGCGCCTAGAACAGCTCAAAAAAGTGAGTGACGGTAATTTTATTTTTAGAATTATATTTAAAGTTTTTTTTTTTTTTTTTTTTTTTTAACTACCAAGAAAAGAAAAAAAGAAAAAAAAAAAGAAAAAAACAAGATCCATCCAAGGAGGAGAAGTTCACATCTGTGCTAGTGGATTCTGTTCCTTTTTATAAAGGCAATTCCCTCAGCAAAGCTTCATTTCTCGATCGCTACGCATTTCCGTTTCAGTTCCAAATTCCAAACCCTAAACCACCTTCTCTCTTCCTCTCTTTTATCTCCATTACTCCATTACCAGCTCCGCGAACAATCTCTCAAATACATGGATTCCGTCAAGTCGTTCAAGGGCTACGGCAAGGTAGACGAGCTCGAACACCAAGCTTTCCGCCAGAAAACTCGCCGCCGACTCATTATACTACTTCTCTCTATTGTTCTTCTTATTGCTTTGGTCATCGGCGCCGTCGTCGGAATCGTCATTCATAAACGGAACTCTTCGTCTTCTTCGACGACGAGTTCGACTCCTCCCACTGAGCTCCCTCCGGCCGCTTCACTCAAAACTCTCTGTAGCGTCACTCAGTATCCGAGTTCCTGTCAGTCCTCTCTCGAAAACTCCAACACCACCGATCCGATATTTCTCTTCAAGCTTTCTCTCCGAGTCGCCACCGATTCGATCTCAAAACTCTCTGATTATGCCTCTAACCTAAATTCCAGTACTAGTGATGTGAAGGTTAAAGCTGCAATTGGAATCTGTACGTCTGTTTTTAAAGACGCCATTGACACACTAAACGACACCGTTTCATCCATGGAAGTGGATCGCCATGGCGAGAAGTTCTTGTCGCCGTCGAGGATTGAAGATCTGAAAACCTGGCTGAGCACCACAATCACAGACCAAGAAACCTGCCTCGATGCCATTCGAGATCTAAACCATACGGCGGTTCTCGAAAATTTGCAAGCGGTAATGGCGAACTCGACCGAGTTCACTAGCAATAGTTTAGCGATTGTGACGAAAATTTTGGGGTTGTTGGCGAATTTCAACATCCCTATCCACCGGAAGCTGATGGCGTTCCCGGAGTGGGTAAGCCCCGGCGATCGGAGGCTTCTGCAGGAGAACAATGTGACGGCACATGCGACGGTGTCGAAGGATGGGACAGAGGAGTACACGACGATCAAAGAGGCCGTAGCAGCGGTGCCAAAGAAGAGTAAAGAAAGATTCATCATCTATGTAAAAGAAGGATTATACGAAGAGAATGTGATTCTGGATAAGAGCAAGTGGAATGTTATGATGTACGGAGATGGCAGAACCAGAACCATCGTTTCAGGCCGCCTTAACTTCATCGACGGCACTCCCACCTACGCCACCGCCACTTTTGGTAATCCATTGAATGATTTTCATGGTTCTTAATTGCTTTATTTAATCTATCAACAATTTGATGTGTTCATAGACTTCAATTAATTTTAGTTTAAAATAGGAACCTAAAAGTTTTTTCCGTCCCCTGCAAAATTCAAAGATAATCAGTGTATTGATTGGGTAAATAGGCCACTACCCTTGTGGTCAGAAACCCACATGGTCGAGTTGTCAGCCATGTGAGGGCAACTTTCCACCACTTTCCACCACTTTCCCTTTTGACCTGTCGTTTCTTCTTCCCTGTTCTGTGAATTGGCTGTTGTGTTTAATTAATTTTGTTTGGTTTTGCAGCTGTTCAAGGCAAAGGGTTCATCGGGAAGGATATGGGGTTCATCAACACAGCCGGTCCGGCCAAACACCAGGCCGTCGCCTTCCGGTCAGGCTCCGACCTATCTGTGATGTACGGATGTTCATTTGATGGCTATCAAGACACTCTTTACGCCCATTCAAACCGTCAATTCTACAGGAACTGCGACATCACCGGCACTATCGACTTCATCTTCGGCAACGCCGCCGCGGTATTCCAGAACTGCAACATCCGGCCCAGGCAGCCACTTCCCAACCAGTTCAACACCATCACAGCCCAAGGCAAAAAGGACATCAACCAAAACTCCGGCATTTCCATTCAGAAATGCACTTTTTCGGCCTACAACGACAGTCTCACTGCCCCCACTTACTTGGGGCGGCCATGGAAGGAATTTTCCACCACCGTGATTATGCAGTCGGAGATTGGGGGCTTCCTGCAGCCCGTGGGGTGGAAGGAATGGGTGAGCGGGCAGGACCCACCCAGCAGCATATTTTACGGGGAGTATCAGAATAGTGGGCCTGGATCCAACGTGGAGAAGAGGGTCAAATGGACCGGTTACAGGCCCAGTCTTACAGACGCCGAGGCCGCAAAGTTCACCGTCCGGACGTTCCTCAACGGCGAGGATTGGTTGCCGGCCACCAGTGTAAAATTTGATTCATCCTTGTGATAAACACATAGAAGAAGACAAGAATGGAGCAGTCTAAAATTAATTTTTAATTTTTTCCCCCTCTTTTTCTGGTTGGGTTTTCAATAAAATTGTGTTTGGAGTGCAAGTTTTAATAAGCTAAGAATAGAGTATAGATTTTAAAATAATATTTAATCCATGATTATATTTAGATTAGATTAAATTTGTTGTACTAAGTACTTATTTTAATTATTTTAATATAGTTATGTATAAAATAAAATATTTTTCTTATTAAAATGGTGTATGTTTTTATTTATTTATTTTAAATTGACCAACTTACGTAGGTGAAAAATGACTAATTTAAATAAAATATATTGAGTAGATTTTAAAATAACATAAAATAATCTATATTTGATTTTTGAGTGACTAATTTAAAATTAAATATTGTTTATTTTACTAATTTACCAAATATTTATATATATTTATATATTATAGAGTGAATATTAAAAATACTAAACGAGAAACTCCTTTATTCAAGTCAAATATTTAGACCATCGTGTAGCTAATTAAACGAACTTGATGGGCCTTAATGGTTAATTACCTGAAACAATCAACGTGTAATCTTCCCACTAAAACTATTTTCACCAATCACTCCTTTGGTTGGGTACCCAATTCCTACGGCATGTAGCCCTTAACACATAAAAATTAATATATACTCTTACACCTTAAAATGATTATCGATTGTTGATTACCCGATTCACGCAGCGTACGTCTTGATGTTGATAACCATTATGTGCGATCACTATTCATAGACCATTATTGACTAGTTACCCTGATTACCCGATTTACACCACGTCTAACTTTGACTTTGATAACCATTATCTGCAATCACTCTACAAACGACCATTAGTGGCTAGTTACTCGATTCATACAACGTGTAACCCTTACAATAATCTCCTCAATCATCAAACATAACATGAATGCATAAATCCCAAAGTATTTATTTTCACAATGAAACATATATCATATCTTACCATATACAGCATGTTCCATTACAGAAATCTCAATATTAATAACAAAAATGATAGAGTTAAATACTTGCCTAATATTCTAATTGCAACTAAATGGTCTAGAGATTTACCAAAATTATCACTTATTCCATTCTAAAAACGACGTACCTCGATCCCATTCCCTTCTACATGTATGATAACCTAAAAAGAATATCGTGAATGCAATCGTTCATGCCTTCTTTAAGGGTATTTTCGACTTTTTAATCTCACAAAAAATAATCAATCCACCAACTCAAAAATAGGTTTAAAACTAATCTAACTCTACTCTATTTTAAAAATTAATAATATTTAATATTTACTAATATAACATATATAATAAATAAATATAATTTTTTAAAGTAATTAAAAAAATAATCTTACGACCCAACCAAAGATTATATTGTGAACTTTGTTCGATCACCCACTCGATCCATGTAAAATTTTAGATTAGTCCTAAAGATTTTTCTAATACAAAATAATAATAATAATAACAATAATAATTAATAAATAATAATAGTAATAATAATAATAATAATAATAATAATAATAATAATAATAATGTAGCGTTAGGAAAGTATCCAATTTCTGGGTGGCGTGAACACAGGGTTGGGGAAAATTGAGGGAACCGAGGATGAGAGAGATGTTCATAAATTAATTGTTAACTAATTTTCGCTGACAATTGTGTTGTTTATAACACACGGATTCAACCAAAGTCAAGGCTGTGTGCGCCAAATCCATCCGAATCAAATCGCAATAAGTATTCACGGTTCCTACAAATTTGCTTTTTCCTTCTCAGTTCTCAAGATTTCTGCTTTTCGCCCCCGATTTTATATATTTTCCTCAATCCAGCCATGATGAGGAAATACGCTCGCGTTTCCGCCACAATTGCCGATCTTCTTCGCAAGCGCTCCCTTCAATTTCCCCGCCTTTTGTCCTCTTCACCCATTCTCGATCACCCCTCTTCTTCTTCTTCTGCTTCTTCATCCATGTCCTCCTCTTCCACTCATCCGGTTTCACTCGGCACCATTAACGAAAAGGTATCGTTCCTTGATTGGTTTTTATGTTTTCTGTTGATCCGTTTGATTGGTTTGGTTATTAACAAGTCAATGTTTAGAGTTTGTGGATGTTCTGTTGCTCATACTGTTCGGGTTCATCCCTGGAATCACGATTCTGCTTTGATTATATTAACATTTGAAAGCCCCTTTCTGTTTGAGGGGATTTCTATTGAGCTTTGTAAGGTACCCTTTCAGATTCAGTCCGTAATGCAAGCTATATAATTGGTGTTGAATTTCTCTATTAATATAATCCCCTTTTCTATGGATACTCCATTGAATTGTAATTGAGTTTCAATCTGTTTAGGTTATCTGTGGAAACGTTTGTCTTTTTCGTCTTTATACGTAGTGATCATTCAACATGTTTGGGCCTGCGGCGGCTATATTTACACTGGTGTTTTTTGTCCAGGTGCTTAAATGTGAGTATGCTGTCAGAGGTGAAATCGTTACCCTTGCCCAGGTAAGTTGACTGGCTTTTTGTGTAAGAGTACACGCTTTAAGACAGATAGAAACCTAATGGGAACTTGGAAATTTTAAAAGTTAATTTTGTCTTTTGTTTTGAAGTAAGAATAATCAATCTCCCTTTATGACTGGTTAAGAACTGCGTTTCTTGAATTTCATTTGCAAGGTGTTGTATTTTTCTTTATCTTATTGTTCTTTTTATGCATTTCTTCTGTAGAGATTACAAGAGGAGTTATTGGCTAAGCCTGGTTCACATCCTTTTGATGAGGTATGGAAAACTCTATCAACTGTTAATCAGAATACGGATTTGTAGTCTTCTAGTTTGGTTTTTACTTGGATGGCCTTTAGTCATTCTATGATGTTGTATACTCGGTTAGTAATTGATGAAGAATGTGAAAATATCTCCTTATATGTGTGTAACTATGAGATCCCATATCGGTTGGAGAGGAGAACGAAACATTCCTTATATGGATGTGGAAACCTCTCCCTAGCATACGTGTTTTAAAAACCGTGAGGCTAACGACGATATGTAACGGACCAAAGTGGACAATATTTGTTAGTGGTGGGTTTGGTCCGTTAAAGTATCCACTTTCTAATAGAGGCAGTGAAAATTTGATTTAAATAGGCAAGCGGTACTTGCTTTTATTATGATGCATACAACCTCTAATTAATGAAATTTTATTGACTTTTGGTAATGGGTTTTTTGGCTGCTTCCATCTTATGGCACTGAACTATATGGTTATAACATCATTGAGTTAACGTTCTACATTGATTTGTTGTCTTTATTTCATATAGATACTCTACTGCAATATTGGAAATCCCCAGTCCCTTGGTCAGCAGCCAATTACTTTCTTCCGTGAGGTTTGTTAACTCTTTTTCACATAATTTGAAATTTCTTATAATGGATGGAAAAATTACTATGTTTCTGAATCTTCAGGTTCTTGCATTGTGCGATCATCCTGCTATTTTGGACAGAAGTGAAACACAGGGTTTGTTCAGGTATCATAACTTTTATATATATTTTTGTTTCTTCCTTGTAAGAACATGTCATTTGTATAATTAGTAGCTTTGCACAAATCTTGAAGCTGAGTTTTCTTCTCCCTAAACTGAGTTTTCCAAACTTATTGCAGTACTGATGCCATCAAGAGAGCTTGGGAAATACTAGATCAAATACCAGGAAGAGCAACTGGTGCATATAGTCACAGCCAGGTCATTGAGAATGCCCATAAGAGAAGATAGTGAAGTTATGCTAAAATATTGCAATGATGATGATTCTAAGTTTATTGGTTTCACTTTTGACATCAGGGTATCAAGGGTTTGCGTGATACAATTGCTGCTGGAATAGAAGCTCGTGATGGATATCCTGCCGATCCAAATGATATTTTCTTAACAGATGGTGCAAGCCCAGCGGTGACCTCCATTTTTCTATCTAGCACAAAGATAATATTTTAACATATTAAGCTTATTAATTATCCCGGTGTTCTTTCCCTGTCCAGGTCCATATAATGATGCAATTGCTTCTAAGATCAGAAGGGGATGGAATTCTTTGTCCAATCCCTCAATACCCTTTGTACTCTGCTTCAATAGCTCTCAATGGTGGCACTCTGGTATTTGAGTCTTTTATTCAGAATTTCAAGCTAATAAAATCGGTGGTTGTTTTAATGTGCTAACTTCTAGCTGGCCTAAAAAATTATGTTTTAGCTTCTAGAGCAATTGGCGGTCGTATATTTTCTTTAGCATAAGTTTGTTCAACTTTTCTTGAGCACTGTAAAACTTAGAGCTTTATCTGTTTCAGTGTAATGTGATGGATCATCTGGTGTTATGCAGGTTCCATACTATCTTGACGAATCTGCAGGGTGGGGACTGGAAATTTCTGAGCTTAAGAAGCAACTGGAGGCTGCCAAGTCCAAGGGTATAAATGTTAGGGCACTGGTGGTAATAAATCCCGGGAATCCCACAGGACAGGTGCGTCTTGCTGCCACGCCGTATTTTCTGGTTAAAGAAATGTGTCCCTTGTTAAAAGTTCGGTTTAAAATGCCTACAGGTTCTTGCTGAGGATAATCAGCGGCAGATTGTAGAATTCTGCAAACAAGAGGGTCTTGTTCTTCTTGCGGATGAGGTTGGTAGATCTGCAATTAGATGAATATAAGTGATGTTATGATACATTTTAAACCAACGAATGAAATAATTGATTCTCCTGAATTTAATTAATGTATCTTTGTTACTTTCTCCAGGTATATCAGGAAAATATTTACGTTCCTGATAAGAAGTTCCACTCTTTTAAGAAGATTTCTCGGTCTATGGGCTATGGCAATGAGGATATCACATTGATATCATTTCAGTCTGTCTCTAAAGGTGATATTTCATTTTTTTTTCATCTGATTTACTGATGAAACATGGTTTAGGAGAAATCTTATCGAATCGATCAATTTCAAATGTAAGGAGAAGTTGTATATTTATGCATGATGTAGGCTACTATGGCGAGTGTGGGAAAAGAGGTGGTTACATGGAGGTTACTGGTTTCAGTCCTGAGATAAGGGAACAGATATACAAAGTGGCATCAGTGAATCTGTGTTCTAATATTTCTGGCCAGATTCTAGCAAGCCTTGTAATGAGTCCCCCAAAGGTTACTTTCGTGTCTCTAAACTATGGGTCAATTGAATAATGTTTATTGATTTCTCCGTTTCAAGACTAAGATTTAAACGTCTTGGAATTTGGATAGGCTTGTGGGTTCATTTACTTTTGGCTTGTTTGACTTTGTATTATGATATTAGACACTGCATGCTTGTGATGCTTCATATTAAGAAAGTTCTATATATGCAGGTTGGAGATGAATCTTTTGAATCATATAGTGCAGAGAAGGATGGAATCCTCTCTTCTCTGGCAAGGCGTGCAAAGGTTAGTAAATTAACATAGACGATTAATAAGAAGTTTTTACTATAGTTTAGATTTACTCATGCAAAACCTGAGATGCTTTCATGGCCTAAACTGTTGGGGGTCTAAACGTGTGCTGGACGTCATTCAGTAGGTAATTTAAACAAATTAAATAAATAGAATCTGCGGCATCTAATTGTTAAACTAACTTTTATCTGTGCAAAGCACAACTAGCTTGCCAAAGAACATGGCCCCTCCCTTGAAAAGAAGGGTACCCAATAACTTCATGAGCTTGCAAATGTTCAATCTCTCTGCTCATTGGTTGAATTGGAACTTTACCATTGCCTTACACTTTGGAGTCTATAAGAGAGCAAAACCATGATAAATGTTTCAGATCCTCAGTGTTCTTAGGTTCCTATTTAGTTTTGCTGACATTTTTTTTTGTTTTATAATTACTATATATATATATTTCCATTTAGACGGAATATGAGTTGCCGATTCACACTTGACAATGTAGTTAAGGAGCATTTACATAAAATGTTACAGCAGATTTGCTTCCTCGCCTGCTACCTCCCCTTATTTTACATTCACTCTTACTGTAGGTACTAGAAGATGCCTTGAACAATTTAGAAGGTGTGGAGTGCAATAAAACAGAAGGAGCTATGTATCTCTTTCCTCGTATTTACCTGCCCGTGAAGGCAGTCAAAGCAGCTGAAGCTGCCAATACGTCTCCTGATACATTCTATTGTCGTCGCCTCCTTAATGCTACTGGCATCGTCGTTGTTCCAGGTTCTGGTTTTGGTCAGGTTAGTTTCGTTTCTTCTAATCATGCTTGGGCCATGTGGCTGCGAACCTTGAAACATAAAAGAGGCTGCGAACCTTGAAACATAAAAGAGGCTGCGAGCCTTGAAACATAAAAGAGGTCTTTGGTTCTTTCTTTTAGGGTCCAACAAATGGTATTAAGACTGTCGTTTGTTTTCTTGAAGGTTCCCGGTACCTGGCATTTTAGATGCACCATACTACCACAAGAGGACAAGGTTCCAGACATTGTTTCTCGCTTGACTGAGTTCCATAAACAATTCATGGAAGAGTTTCGTGACTGAATCTCTGCTGCAGGACCAATAGTAATGTTAAACCCATTCCCTTAAATGATGAGCTCTGTGGTTAGCATGCTCACTTTTCCATTATGAATTTGACCTCCCACTTCCTAAATTAGGAATAGTGATAGACGGGTGTTTATTTTATTTACTTCCTCAAAACGATATTGAAGGGAATGAAGCCCAATCTTATATTTTGTTCAAAACTCAAAGAAAGCGACTTCCTCTTCCTTCTGATCTTGTTCTTCTTTCAAGGAACTACAATAATAAAATTGAAAAAGAGAAGAGTTGCTCCAAGTAGTATTTGTTTTCATTATTCTATTTTAGTGTGTTATGGCTAGGAAAGCAACCACAAGAACTGATGTTGTGGCCAAAAGAATAAGATTGTCTCCAATTTTGCTTCTTGGCTTGTCCTGTGGCTTTCAGAATCTGCCCAGAGTGCTGTTGCCTGGCTGCTTCTCTCCATTCCTCAGCTTTTCTGTGGACTATGGCCAATCTCTTCATCAGCTTCTCCTCTAAATTTGATCTCATCCTTTCTATTTTCACCTGCATTATCATTTAATTTGTTCTTTACAGTAACCATTAAGGGTGGGGTATTTAAGATCATTAAAGACTAACAGGATCTTGAGCCCTGTTTTTCAGGCATGCCAGAGACCAATAGACAAACAAATTCTCCTTTTTCTTCGCTTTCGTTTTCCAGATGGAGATTGCTGTCATAAAGTTATTAGGAAGATGACTTGTAGCTTTCAATTCTTATTTTAATGGGAGCATTTGCAGATATGAGGGGTTACTGAAAATCAGGTGAGCACAGAAACAGAGGTGGACTAGTCAAGAAGCCAGCAGAGAGAACCATGACTGGCTCAACTATGGCGGACGGCTCGAGAAAGGAAAACGACGAAACCCAAAACATAAAAAACCAGAAAAGTTGAATAAAAATGAAGTTTTGGATAATGGGTCACCTCAAGTTCCTTTGATTGAGCTTCTGCTTTTGCATTTTGAAGGTTCACCCAAGCCTGTATCTTGGCTTCTTCTCTCTGATATCTGGAAAAAAGTTGTAGGAATCAAACTGTCTTGGCCAACGGTGAAATTTTAAAGTAAAAGATAAGTGCTTACCTATTACAGCATTTAGTCTTCTTCTCTTCTTCCCAAGCTGCAGCTCTTGAATCTGATATACTTTTTCGGCATTCATTGCCAGTTTCAGAGTGTCTCAAGCTTTTGGAAATTTCTTCCTCTTCCTCTTCTCTTGAGCTCCAATGTGATGCAATAGAATCATATTGAGATGGAAGCTGTAACTTAGCCAAATGGCATTCCTGCAATTGGGAAATGTCGATGGTGGCACTGTCGCCGCCCTTGGTGTCCAGACCGAGCGTCCCGGATCTGCTAGATGGCGTGTTGTAGCGAGCTGGGGAAGTGCTTTTGAATGGCGTTGGACATCTTGAGGTGGTGGAACTGCCGAGAGGAGTCATCTCTGTTCCAATGTCTCTGTGCTGAACCTCAATAATGGCGCCTGCAACTTTCATCTTGTCAATGGGGGAGCTCTTGAACACAAAGCCTTCGTTCGTGGACAAAGTTGCCTCTAACTTGTCCATAAACTTATCTGTAGGAATCAAAGTTTAGCAGAAGAACCAAGTTTTATACAAAAGCTACAGGAAACGTTGAAAAAGTAGCAATAATTTAGGGGCTCTGAGCAAAGCTGAAAAGTTTCAAGTAGAACAGGAAAGTTGTTACCTTTTAAGTGTAAATCAGAAACTCCATTAACAATTCTTGGAGGTGCTTTGGAGATCCTTTCCTCTGTAACTCGAGACTTCTCAGCAAAGACCTCACATTGCTTTAACATCCTTGTGGGCTCGGATGGCTTCAATGTGTGGGAAGGGGAGTCATTGCAAGGACTACAAACGAGCCATTTCTCTGCTTCATCCCATTTTGAAGGGACATTGTTTCTTAAAAGGTTTCCAACACTGAACCCAAAAACAGGTCTTCCAGGAGTTGAAGGAGACTCCATAACTCGTCTTTGAGTCACTGAGTTAAGACCCTCTGTCCTCCTCTGAGTTGAAACAGAGCAGCTGACATTGTTCGCCATTGGTAAGGACTTGACAAACTCTGAAGTTTCTTTAAGGTTGAGCTTGCAAAGTGGGTCATAGAAGGTGTCTACAAAAGGGTCGCCCTTGGTTTTACCATAGAAGCTTCTCCTGCCCTCCAATGGCGGTTCCTGAATCAGAAAAACAAACACACAGGCCACAATCAAGAGCTTTAGAAGAAGATAACCACTAAAAGCCTCAAAACAACATTTACCCCATCATTTGATTCAAATATGGGAGTGGGAAGATCCATTGCTTTTCAAGCTTGTTGAAGATGATCAAAAGGGTTCACTCCTTTTTCTTCTCTATCTCTATCTCTATCTCTATCTTCATGATTTAGATATAAAGCAGTGTGGCAGAGTCCTCACTGTCCCAACCCAAATGCAGCTACTAACATGGGGTAGCCTGCAAAAGCCAAGCTTAGCCAAGCCATGCTTATCTCTTTACATATACCTATATATATATATATATGTATGCATATCTTCAAAGGCTAAGATGTAGGGCGAGAATGAAGCCCGCCTGAGATGAAGAAGGGGACGAAACAGTACTGTCTCAAAAGGAGAAGGGCAGGGGAAAGGCTATCTCGTGAATCATAAATTTTGAAACTTGAAGAAAAGGTAATATCAATGGCTTCTTCTTCTTCTCTCTCTCTCTCTCATATTTTGTATTCTTTTTAGGAAGCTTCTTATGAGTTATAGACGGGATTTGTTTAAGCTTTTTTAAGGGAAGGGGATGTCTGGTTTGTAGGCAAAAAGCTGGTTTTGCTCTGTTTTTCTTTGCACAATAGTCTTTAAGCTTAGCCCTTTGCTTTTGTGTTTTTTTTTTTCTCTGTTCCCAAAGATGCTTAGCTCCGCCCGACAAGATTTGTTGTCATAAAAAATATTTTGACACACAATTTCATTCTTAGACCATTGTTCTCCTTGCATTCATTAACCTAACAAAATGATGCTCTCTGTTTACTAAATCTTTAGGGAGGGGCGGAATCCAATCGAGCCACAACTTTGACCCAATACTTAGTTTAGAGATGTTGTTTCATTCATGACTTGCGTAATTTGAATAGATATCAAATAGAGTGAATCAGACCAACTTTTGTTTATCGTTCTGCGTCAAAATAACATAACTCTCTTAAAATGGTTCACAAAAAGTGTTTGATTAAAAGTCATATTCTTGAATGAACTCTATTCTATCTAATACACGAATCAGATGTTTAAAGACACAAAAACCTTAGTCAAAACAATATATTTTTTATCATTGTTTTTTTTAACAATTGAGTAGGAAAGATCAAATCGTCAACCATTAAGATGATAATTGATATTTGAACAGAACTAATTGAGGATTGGGCGGTATTTATTGCTATGATATATTCTCACTTTATAGGCTTACATAAAAAGGAATAGTGACAGAGCATTATTGCATATAGGGTGAGGGGATGGCCTTAATATTTCCTTACTCAAAATAAGCTTCCATTACTTGAATAAAAAATAAATCATTTCAAGTGAAATGTGTATATATATATATTTAATGAACACTCTTTAACAAAATTTATTTAATTAATTTATTTAAATTTTACCCATCAATTAACTTTTAAGAAATAGACTTATTTATTCGTTCATATTTCATAAAATCCTTAAACGTTTTAAATAAATAAATAAATATATATATATATATATATATAGGAGGGTTATCTTCGAAATTTAACATAAGTTAATTAAAAAAGAAAAAGGGTAGTAGCTTCGTCGGTGAGTCTTCCAATCGAACTTTAGAGGCCAATTCCTTGTGTTTTAACCAAATTCTTGTTGTCAGATGAAGTTGGAGGTGGAAGGAGTTCTTTGCTGTAACGGTCCAAAACTGAGGAAAAATTGATCTAATAGTGCAATACGTACACTATGTGTGTACGATTAGGGTCTCCAACTCTTTCCTAATCGTGATCTTGTGTTGTGAAAGTAGTCAACACATATAAGGGTTGATTCATTTTTATGTCACATTTGCATTATGAGATTATTATGGCTATGTCAACTACCCCAATAGATTATCTATTGTGAGGGATAGACTCTGTGATGTATAATGGCAGACTAAAGATAGAATTATGACAACATTATCCATTTTCAAGATAAAATTATGACAACATTATGACTCTGTGATGTATGATGGCAGACTAAAGATAGAATTATGACAACATTATCCATTTTCAAGATAAAATTATGACAACATTATCCATTTTACTAGGAACATCTCACCAAGGTAACAGGGCTGTGAGAGATTAGTAAGTTAGTAGAAGCCCTGTTAAGACTAAATTTTGAAAGGCTAGAAGTTTCATATTAGTATAACTTATTTGTCTAGGCAAGCCTACAACATAGATTTATAACAATGGAGTATGAGTATGAGCTCAATCGGATTGGGCTAAAGTTAGTTAAGAGCTTTTAGAATTAGAACTCTTAATTAAGTTAAAGTTAGTTAAGAGCTTTTAGAATTAGAACTCTTAATTAAGTTTAAGTAGTATAACAAGATTAAATGTTCATAGTAGGAAAGTTTGTGACCTACTTATATAACATTTGGATATCAACAAAACTTTTAAATAAATAGTGGCATAAGAATCCAACGGTAGACTTTAGGGAGTTGAACTATAAGAACGAATAGAATAGTTATGAAGTTCATTGGACTAAAGTGACCGCCAAGCTCCACAGACCTAAGTCACGTGAACAGTTAAGTAGAAAAGAACTTGAGTTTATGTCGAACTTACCTGAGGAGTTAGGCTATCAAAGAACATGAGAATATATGATCTAGTTTGCTAAATACTTGACTCTACCTATCGGCCACGAGATTATATGATTAAGTTGGTATGCAGGGTATGGTTAATGATTAGAAGTTTGCCTTTAATTATGACCGATCAGATAGCCCTTCATAGTTTTCTCATAAATGATGAACTCAAAGAAACTATGAATAAGGAGCCCCAAATGGGCTAGACAAGTTTAGGAGGTTGTATGAATTAGTAGAGTGACAATTATGTTATTCAAGGTTCCGAGTAGTCCTCAAAGGCAGACAAGAGATTAGTAAGAAATAAAAAGGCATGTTTTGAACTCAAGTGAGTTAAGAGAGCGCTTAGGTGGTTGTACGAATTTGTAGGGTGACAATTATGTTCTTCAAGGTCCCGAGTAGTCCTCAAAGGCAGACAAGAGATTAATAAGAAATAAAAAGACTCTTAGTTCCAGTAGAGTAGATAAGTAGAGTGAACCTTGTAAACAACCTATGATTTAGAATCTAAGTTATCTTTTTCGATGGATTTATATTTAGAAATAAGATATATATATATAGAAATAAGATATATATATATATATATTGATGATGTATAAGAAGAATATTTATGTACTCATTCGTGCGAAATGGCGTGATGAAGTAAAAAGCTAGAGATGATGTCTATATTAGCTCTATAATTTCTATAAATTGAGTCTTATGATATGAAATGATTTTTTCAAAGAGATATTCATGTGTATTTTTTAAGTAATAATCTTTCATCTACTCTACGAAATTAGATAGTTACAAAATCAATCCATACAAAAATAAAAAATAAATCTATATTCGTTTTGATGTGAGCTAGGAGAATGCGTGTGAATGTGCATGTTCGATTTTGGTTGAGCTGAACTACTAACTTGCATTGAATAAACCAAATAGTTATCAATGCATGAAAAGAGTTTTCGTTTTGTCCCTTTGCAAAATGGTTGGTTCCGTCTTTTTAGGGTAAATGTGACACACTCATAAAGTAACAATGAATCACACAAAACCTAATATACAGGTATAGTGGAGATGCCGATAATGTCCCAAGTTGCAAAGACTGATATGACATGGACATACAAGGACTACTACCAAATGATAAAAGACAAAGAAAAGAACAACATGATAAAAATTGATTGACTTACCTGGTTATCCATCCTCCAATAACTTGAAGAAGTTTATATTTGCAAGCAACATCCGGACAATGATTATTTTCCTGACCATCTAACAAAAACAAATTTATATTAGAAGAGATTCAAATTTTTGATATTTTTTGTTCGAAAATATTTAGCTTAATCTATGCCAGTTCAACATAGATAAAAGAAAATGAAAATCAGTAAGATTTGATTGGAAGTTCCACTAGAATTGAAACTAACCAGCAGATTATGGAAATGACGGAATGGCCAATTTGACAATAAATTAATGCTCAAATGCACAAAGGGAGTGATCGAGATGAAGCAAATTGGGTCCCAAATTTTCATGATTTGCAAGGTTTTCAACGCTTGTTTTGTTTAATATGAAATCCATTGAAGGACGGTTTGGTTGCCGTAAGCATCTTTTTAAATCTCGAAGACCAAACTCTTTCAAGACCTCCAATGACAATGGCGATGACCGGCACAAATTGCAGATCTCCTCCTTTTGCCCTAAATTCTGCTACATCTCTTCAAACTAAACCTCTGAGCGAAGTTTTTATGCTCAAACCTGCAAAATTTTCACTCAACAGAACTCTCACTCTCCAAATTACATGTTCTTTAAAGAACAACGTGGTTAGTCTCTCTCCCTGTGATCTAAACTTCTTAGATCAGATCATTGTTCTTACAGTCTAGTTGATTTTGGCAGGTTTTCGAGGATCGTTCTAATGGCGTGATTTGCTACAGAGACGACGATGGAGAGATTATTTGCGAAGGATATGATGACGAAGAGCCTCGTATTGAGCAAGAGATTGAGAAATTACCTTGCGAAAAGTCTCGTCGAAGGTAGAAACCAGATCTTGATTAATTCTCGAATGAATCTAGAGGCCGCATCGTAATATATGCTTTTCTTTGTTCTGAATTCTGATTCCTGTTCTGTGTTTCCGCGGATTCTAAGATCTGATGGCGAATTGAAGATCGATCGTCTTCTCCTGCAGCAAAATTGGGAGAAGAGCTTAGAAACCATTAATGGCGGTGCTGGAAGTGGAAGAGGAGAGCTTCGAATTCGAGCGAATGGCTTCAGTTTGTAGTAATTGCTTAGCTCAAGAACTGGAAATTGCAGGTCAAATGAAAGGGGAAATTGTGGTTTCCTTGTTTAGAATTTGTACAATTTTACCTCTATCATAGGCTCTTGTAAACATAGCATACAATAAATTGTAAAAAATCCTAAAAACTCCTTTGTTTGTAATAATGTAAATTATTTGAAATGTTTGTAAGATCCCAACCCTACCACTAATGGATATCGTCAATTTTTGTTCGTTCGTATTATCGTCAGCTTTATAGTTTAAAACCCAAGCTCATTATTACTAGCTGATATTGTCCGTCTTGATCCTGTTACGTAGCGTTATCAAGAAAAATTTGCTCCTACTGTACTATTGTTATGTAGTTTTCACTATCTATCTAAAGTGGAGCTCTAAGATTTACGAGAATAAATTTTAATCTTCTAGGTAAACTTGAATCAAAGTAATTACTATGGGTTAAAAGGTTAATTATTGTAACGCCCAAGATACACTGCTAGCAGATATTGTACTCTTTGAGCTTTCCCTTTCGGACTTCCCCTTAAGGCTTTAAAACGCGTCCGCTAGAGAAAGGTTTCCACACCCTTACAAATGGTAGTTTATTCTCCTCCCCAACTAATGTCGGACATCACAATCCACCCTCTTTCTGGGCCCAGCGTCCTCACTAACACTCTTTTTTTTCTTCAATCGATGTGGGACCGCCCCCAAATCCACCCCCTCTAGGGCCAGCATCCTTACTGGAAGACCGCCTTGTATCTACCCCTTAATGGGAAGTGATATGGAAAATCACTACAAGGGGAGTAAGATTCAGATTACCTTATTGATCGAATATCTCAAGGCAAGAATATTGTTTGAGATTCGAATCACTCCACAATCAAGATCGATCATGTCTAGTTTGAATGATTCTTGTTGATCAAATATCTCAACGCAAAAACACTTGTTTGAGATTCGAATCACTCCACAAACAAGATTGATCATGTCGAGCTTGAATGATTCTACCCGCAGCCTAAACTACATAGAATTGCAAATAAACTTAGCCATTGGCTAAAGAAATCACAAATGTTTCTTTTACTCTATTTTTCAAGTCTCCTTACAAATACAACCTACAAGGCTTTATATAATATCAAAATGAAACTACTACCATTCCCAGAGTGGCAACATTTCATACGACCATAATTAACCATTATGTAATTATAACCTAAACTAAATTAAAAGTCTTAAAATACATTAATAAAATACAATAACTCTAAATTGTAACCTACCCAAAATTTAAAACAATCAAACTTCTTTTTCTTTAATGTGGCATGAATTGAAACATCTTTTGATAATTTTGACAACCTTTTCTTCCCATCTTCATTGTATTGTATGATTGATGTCTTTTGGTTCATATAAGAAAGCACTAAAGGGAAAGCCCAAGGAGGACAATATCTACTAGTTGGATATGAGTCGTTACAATTATAAATTATTTTAATGGTAAAAACTGATTATAATAAGATTTAAATTATTTTTGCTCAAATCCCTCTAAAATACCCTTTATTTCCGATTTTTTTATATCTTTATTCCCGAATTTTTTATATCATATTGGTTATTTATCTCGGTTAATATTTGAGTTTATGATATTTATATTTATATTTATTTATTCATTAAATTATAAATAATTTGAAATTTAGCACATTTTACTTTTTTTTTTAATTTATTAAAAAATTTAATGATTATACATTATTATAAAATAAATGGGTTACTTTTCAAAATTTTATATATAATAATTTATTAAATGTTAAGATACTAATTAGAAGAAGTAATTGTTTTATTTTTTAAAATTTATAATTATTTTTGAAATCCAAGTTAATTAAACAGAGCGACATAGGCTGTGGAACTTCGCTACCTTCCTGGCTATGCTTTCGCCTGCGTGCTGATGCGGCCCGTATGAGCAGAAAAGAACAAGCTTCCCCTTCGCTTTGTGCTGCTCAACTAACTTGACCAAACTAGAACGATCTGTTCATCAATCTAATCCACGGCAGAAAAAGAAGCCCAAATTACGAACAAGACAAGGCCTGATGTCTTTTACCATTTTCGTTAAATCCGTGCTTTTAGGCACCCAATTAACGCAAATTTTTCTGGGTTTTGAAGTCTCGTGCTCTGATTTTTCTTACAAATTTCTTGGAGGACGAACAACACGTGCCCATTAGTAGCTGTATTTGAAATAGAAATTTGGAAGGCCATGTCGTTTGTTGATTGGATTGGAATCGCAGTTCGTGAGAAGGGGCTGTGTTATAAACCTTTCCCTTTTCTGGTTGGGTTCGATGTGTTTTGAATCTTGTTTTGATATGTTTGACTTCCGGCTCCGAGATGTGGGAATGTTTTTATCTGACACCCACTTATTTAACAGAAAGGAACTAATAATTTGATTTAATTTTGGCGACTGTGAGCTTTTGATTTTCGTGTTTATTGCGTGGAATGTGGATAGGGAGAAAGGTTAGAATATTTCTTATTTCTATTTTCTTTCAGCGATTTTTTAATGATGTGAATTTTAAGGGGCCTAGGGTTCGCTTTTCGCCCTTCGCTCTTCTATCATTCCCCAAATTTCTTCCCCTTTCGTATGAATTTTTCGTCGATTTTTCTTCATCTCATTGCGCTAGATGCTCAAATTCCCTTCATCCTTCCCATTCGCTTTGTGGGTTTTCCGGTTTCTGTTGTCTGAGGCGCTGAATTCCCTCTCGCTTCTTCTGCTGGTGACTGGTTCGTTTAATTTTGAGGTTTTCTCTTATGGGTTTTGCTTTGGAGCTTCGGTTTTGATGTTTTTGTTTTTGTTTTTTTTAATGAATCCTTGACAGCAGCTGGATATATGCTTTGTTCTTGCTGTTCATAAGGTTTGAGTTCTAAATAAGTCCTGCATTCAGTTTTGCTGAAATTATATGCTGAAGTGAGTGATTTGTTAGGGTTTAATTGTTGGTCCGGTGAGAATTAAACGTTCCAGACGGCTTTGATTTTGATCTTAAAGCCGTCCTTGAGGGGCTTTAGGATGATGGCATTGTTTAAACCTCAGAATGAAAATTCAGGTTCTGTAATTCTATGTCATGGCCTATTGGTTGGTCTCTGAGATTGTTAGCTGATGACAGAGCGTTGGGGCTCTGTTTTGGCGAATGGTTGTGTTCTAACCGTTCCACAAGCAAGTTGAAAGATCTCATTACTTGAGGAAGTTTGCTTAATGCAATTATCTCCCGGTTCTTCTTGTAAACGATGCTTCATTCCGTAATAGCTGCTAGACAAACTTGTAGCCTACTTGCTGTCACCTGCGGAAGTGTTGTTAAAGCGAAATGCGAGGAGGATGTTGATGAGGATAAGTTGAAATATCCGTTTCCGGGATTAGTTTCTTCTGGACGATTGGAGGTGCTAATCTGCATTAGTTTTCATTTATCTGCAATTTTCCTAAACTTAAGATGGTTCTTGTCAAAATATTCAACTGCTTGAATGTGCAGGTTCGAGCTTTGACAAATCCAAGCACGGATGAATTTAGTAGAATTGTGGAATCGTGTCTACCGAGCTTTGTCTACTTGCAAGGGGAACAACTAGGAAATGATGAAATTGGGTCTTTGGTTTGGAATGGTGTTGATTTGTTTCTTGAAGATTTATGTGGGCTATTCAATACTGCATTACCAACTGTTGTATGTTCTGTCTCCCTTCTATAATTGATGAATTAGTTCTTTACATAAACATCTCGTTTTATCTTCTGCCCGTTCACTCCTTCGTGATGGGGTTGGAGGAATGGATTCGGGTTTTGATTAATTTAGTTCATCTATTTGCTCAGGTGTATTTAGAAATCCCAAATGGAGGCAGAATAGCGGAGGCGCTTCATTCTAAGGTGACTTATATGAGGTTCTTAGACCACCACTTCAATTAAATTATGGTGTTAATAGCGGAGGCACTTCATTCTTGTATGATATCTTTTTTTTTTTCGTCGAAGAATGTTTATTGAAATAGATTCATTATTGTGCAGGGAATTCCTTATGTCATGTATTGGAACAGCACATTTTCGTGTTATGCTGCAGCTCATTTTCGTAATGCATTGTTTTCAGTGTTGCAGAGGTACATTGCGTATTTGAAGGCTTTACACTACTTGCTATTAGGCATACTAGAATTGTGTGATTTTAGGTGTCTATTTGCCTGTCTTCATGGATTCAAGTAAATACTTATCTTCACATTTAGGTTAGAATAAAAGTTATCTTGTGATTGTTTGTAACAGACCAAACCCACTCCCACTCCACTCCCACTGCTATCAAATATTGTCTTCTTTGGGCTTTCCCTTTCAGGCTTCCGCTCAAGGTTTTTAAAACGCATCTGCTTGGGAGAGGTTTCTACACCCTTATAAAGAATGTTTTGTTTCTCTCTCCAATTGATGTGGGATCTCACAATTCATCCCTCTTCGAGGCCTAGCCTCCTCGCTGGCACACTGTCCAGTGTCTGGCTCTGATACCATTTGTAATAGCTCAAGCCCACCGCTATCAGATATTGTCTTCTTTGGGCTTTTCCTTCTAGGCTTCCCCTCAAGGTTTTTAAAACGCATATGCTAGAAAGAGGTTTCCACACTCTTATAAAGAATGCTTCATTCTCCTCTCCAATTGATGTGGGATCTCACATTTTCATATTATATATACTTTGTGTTTCTTGTATGAGCTCACCCTACTATGGAACGTATTGATAGTAGCGGTTTTAAAAGTGCGATGCAAATTAAAGAGCAATAGCTTTTAAAAGTGATGCAAATTAAAGAGCAATAGCTCTTTTTTAGGGCTTAAGTGCAAGTACAAAACAAGGCTGAAGACTTTAATGAATTGCATGATATATAATGAATATAATCTTAAAAATCAACATGAAAAAAGAATTCTCATGTAAAATAAGTCGAGTTTCTCAAGGAGAATTCCCATGGAAAACAAAAGTACAGTCATCATTTGACATGCATTTGATTTCTAGCTATCTACGTGTCATTTTTATACAAAACACAAGCCATCTAACTTGTTAGTGACACTGGTAGGCCCTCTCTACTTGTTGAGGACACTT